AAGTTCTGATAGAATTCTGCAGTAAAACCATCCGACCCTGGGCTTTTTTTTTGGGGGGGGGGGTTGATGACAGCTTTTATCTCCTTGCAGTTTATAGGTCTATTTAAATTGCTCACCTGGTCTTGATTTAATTTTGGTATATGGTATCTATCTAAAAAATAGTCCATTTCTTCTACATTTTCCAATTTTGTGAAGTACAGGTTTTTGTAGTATAACCTAATGATTCTCTGAATTTCCTCAGGGTCTGTTGTTATGTCCCTTTTTCATTTCTGACTTTGTTACTTTGGATGTTTTCTCTCTCCCCTTTGATTAGTTTGGATAAGGGTTTGTCAGTCTTCTTCATCTTCTCAAAGAACCAGCTCTTTGTTTCATTGACTCTTTGTATTGTTTTCTTTGTTTCTATTTTGTTGATTTCAGCCCTCTGTTTGATTATTTCCTGTCTTCTACTCCTCCTCGGTGAGTCTGCTTCTTTTTGTTCTAGAGCTTTCAGGTGGGCTGTTAAGTCAGAAATGTGACTTTCTCCAGTTTCTTTATATGGGCACTTAGTGCTATGAACTTTCCTCTTAGTACTGCTTTCATAGTGTCCCATAGGTTTGAATGTGTTGTGCATTCATTTTCGTTGAATTCAAGGAGGACTTTAATTTTTTTCTGTATTTCTTCCTTGAACCAGAGGTGGTTCAGTAGTTGACTGTTCAATTTCCATGAGTTTGTAAGCTTTCTCAGATTAGTATTGTTGTTAAATTCTAATTTTAATCCCTGGTGATCCGGTAAGACACAGGTGGTTATTCCAATTTTTTTTCTTTTTTTTTTTTTATTGAGAAAAGGAGAAAAAAAACAAGTTTCCGCCTCCTCCCAGCCTCCCATTTCCCTCACCCTCCTCCCACCCTTCTCCCCTTCCCCCTACTCCTCTCCCCCTCCCTCTCCAGTCCAAAGAGTAGTCAGGGTTCCCTGCCCTGTGGAAAGTCCAAGGTCCTCCCCCCTCCGTCCATATCTAGGAAGGTGAACACCCAAACTGGCTAGGCTCCCACAAAGCCAGCACATTAAGTAGGATCAAAACCCCGTGCCATTGTCCTTGGCTTCTCATCAGCCCTCATTGTTCGCCATGTTCAGAGAGTCCGGTTTTATCCCATGCTTTTTCAGTCACAGTCCAGCTGGCCTTGGTGAGCTCCCAATAGATCAGCCCCACTGTCTCAGTGGGTGGGTGCACCCCTCGTGGTCCCGACTTCTTTGCTCATGTTCTCCCTCCTTCTGCTCCTCATTGGGACCTTGGGAGCTCAGTCCAGTGCTCCAGTGTGGGTCTCTGTCTCTATCTCCATCCATCACCAGATGAAGGTTCTATGGTGATATGCGAGATATTCGTCAGTATTGCTATAGGATAGGGTCATTTCAGGTTCCCTATCCTCAGCTGCCCAAGGCACTAACTGGGGACATCGCCTTGGGCTCCTGGGAGCCACTCTAGGTTCAAGTCTCTTGCCAACCCTAAGGTGGCTCCCTTAACTAAGAATTGTGCTTCCGTGCTCCCCTATCCAACCTTCCTTTATCCCAATCATCCTTTTTCCCCAAGTTCCCCCCATCCTCCCCTTCTCCCTTTTCTCTCCCCATCTCCCCTTACCCCCATCCCACCCCACTCCTAAGCTCCCAATTTTCTCCCCGGCAATTTTGTCTACTTCCCATTGCCAAGAGGATAACTATATGTTTTTCCTTGGGTTCACCTTCTTACTTAGCTTCTTTAGGTTCACCAATTGTAGACTCCGTGACCCTTATTTATGGCTAGAAACCAATTATGAGTGAGTACATCCCATGTTCATCTTTTTGGGTCTGGGTTACCTCACTCAGTATAGTGTTTTCTATTTCCATCCATTTGCATGCAAAATTCGAGAAGTCATTCTTGGGCTCTCTGCAGGGCCTCTACTCCCTGCATACTGCCTCTTTCTTCCTATCCCACCCAGCTTGCATCCAGAAACCTCCCCACTTTGGCCCCCGTGCCCTCTTTTGGCACATAACATCACCCAGCCCAGCCTGTCTGGGCACTGGGTCCGAATCCAAGGGGCAACCAAACGGGCGGGCGTTCCTTTGTTTCTATAGCCTGCCTGCACCAAGCAAGGTAGGCGCTTTGTTTAAGAGCTACCCAACCAGCACGGAGACCTGATCTGGGTGCCAGGAGAGCCAGCATTGGGGAGAGCCATCATTGGGCACGGAGATCAGATCTCGGCACCAGGAGAGCCATCACTGGGAAGGTACATTAGTTGGCAAGGAGTCCAATTTTTTTTTTTTTAATCTGTGGATGTGATCAATTTTTGAGAAGGTTCCATGAGGTGCTGAAAAGAAGGTATATACTTTCCTGTTTGGGTGAAATGTTCTATATATGTCTGTTAAATCCATTTGATTCATTACATCTGTTAGTTCTCTTCTTTCTCTGTTAAGTTTCTGTCTGGTTGACCTCTCCATTTGCGAGTGAGGAGTGTTGAAGTCTCCTACTATTAGTGTGTGGTGTTTAATGTGTGATTTGAGTTCTAGTAATGTTTCTTTTACATATGTTGGTGCTCTTGTATTTGGGGCATAGATGTTCAGGACTGAGATTTCATCTTGATGAATTGTTCCTGTTATGAGTATAAAGTGTCCTTTTCCATCTCTTCTGACTGATTTTAGTTTGAAATCAATTTTGTTAGATATTAGGATAGCTACACCCATTTGTTTTTTAGGTTCATTTGATTGCAAAACCTATTCCCAACCCTTTACTCTGAGGTAGTGTCTGTCTTTGAGGTTGAGGTGTGTTTCTTGTAAAAAGCAGAAGGCTGGATCCTGTTTTCATATCCATTCTCTTAGCCTGTATCTTTTTATAGGCAAATTGAGTTCATTGATAGTAAGCAATATTATTGATCAGTGGTTGTTAACTCCGGTTATTTTTCGGCAGTAGTGTGGTGTGTGTTTCCCTTCTTTGGGTTATGCTGGTGGTGGGGGTGGGGGTTGTGGGTGTAGTTAGCTTCCTTGGGTTGAGGTTTTTCTTCTAGTACTTTCTGTAAGGCTGGGTTTGTGGATATGTATTGTTTAGATTTGTTTTTGTCATGGAATATCTTGTTTTCTCCATCGATGGTGAATGAAAGCTTTACTAGGTATAGTAGTCTGGGCTTTTTTTTTTTCTTTGTAACAATGTGTTTGAGAGTTTTATTTTTATCTTTTCAACATTTTATATAGTCACTCATTTTGTTTATTTTTAAAGACATTTGAACAATTAATACAATTGTGTTCATTGTAGGTTTAATTTACTTTTGACAATTTACTGAAGATGTTTAGTGTTTTCTAGTCCTTATTTGCCTGGAGCGGGAGAATCATGGCGACTTACTGATTCAGCTTCTTTCTCCCAGCATTCCGTTCTGTTTTCTCCGCCTACCTAAGGTTTGGCCTATCAAATGGGTCTAGGCAGTTTCTTTATTAATAAGGAATCACTCCCACATCAATAAATGCTTTGTCAGATATGTTGGGATACATTTTCCTACTCCAGGCTTGCTTTGTTATAATCACAGCAGTACCTAGTCAGGAAAAGATGCTTTGCTTTAGATTCTCTGTGATTCCTTTTAGTGATCATGACTGGGGGTTTCATATCATATCTGACCCATGGAAAGGCAAGTTTCCCCCAGAAAGTTATATCTTTTGTGATAATCCTACACTGCCTCTGATATACTGCCTCCTTCTCCAATCTAATCTGGAAGCCTGTTTTCCACTACTGCTCTGATACTGCTGATTCCACTGCAAGTTTCTAGACTCCTCTTCCGATGTGGGCATCCATTTCAGACTCCACTTCCTTAGAATTGTTGTCAGAAGTAAATGTTAGGGCTTTTATTTTTCCAAATATTTTTCTTCTATTAAAAGATAATCTGATTTTTCTTGGAAGTTTGTTAGTATGATGAGTAACACTGACTGTTTCTAAAATGTTAAAACTAGTGATTAATTCCTGGAATAATTCTCCTCAATCATGCTGCATTCTCTTTAAATGTTGCTGGATTAGAGTTGGAAGATTTTTAGTTTTAATGTTTGTACCTACGTTCATGAGAAATATTACTGTTTTTTCAAATTTATTTTTATTTTGTGTTCACTGGTGTTTTGTCCACATGTATGTCTGTGTGAGGGTGTCAGAATCCCTGGAACTGGAGTTATGGACATCTGTGAGAAGCCAGCCATTTGGGTGCTGGGGATTGAACCCGGTTCCTCTGGAAGAACGGTCAGTGCTCTTAACTGCTGAGCCATTTCTCCAGCCCCAAGAAATGTTGCTCTTTTCATTTGTTTCCCTTTAGTGTCTTAGGTTTTGGTATCAAAACATTCCAACAGACTTAGATAGACACTGTTTAAGGCAGAAATAGTAGGCCTGGAGAGATGACTCAGCTGTTAAGAGCACCAACTGCTCTCCAGAGGACCTGGGTTCAATTTCTAGCACCCACATTGCAGCTCACAACTGTCTGTAATCCAGTTCCATGGCATCTGACATCCTCACACAGACATATATGCAGACAAAACACCAATGTACATAAATACAAATAAATACATTATTTTTAAAAAGAAAGAGTATATCCGATTTTTCTAATTTTTATCAATTTTCAAGAGAAGGATATATTCAATTAAAATTGTCATGTTTTTCTGTTTGGTTTTTTTGTGACAGTGTTTCTCTTCATGACCCTGGCTGTCCTGGAACTTGCTCTTCAGACCAGGCTGGCTTCAAACTCAGAGATCCACCTGCATCTGCCTGCCAAGTGCTGTGATTAAAGGCATGCATCACCACATCCTGACCCGAATTTTGTCTGTTTTTAATATCGATGGCATTTTAGAGTATAGAGTCTTTGTGCCAAGTGCAACAAATTATTGGTATCATTTTTAAAGGTGTCCTTGGAACATGTCTTTAGCTTATTCTTTGGTATTGGTCTGTTACATATTCATGTGCAAAGCAAGTATTGTTTTATTACTTCTTATTGCCTTATGATTTATCTAATACATATTTTTCTTGGCAGCTTCTATGTTTTTGAAACAGGCATTTGAAGGTGAATACCCTAAATTATTACGTCTTTATAATGACTTATGGAAGCGTCTTCAGCAGTACAGTCAAAATACCCAAGGAAATTTCAGTACAAGTGGAATTGCTGATCTCTATGTTGACCTCCCACACATGGAAGACGATAGACAAGACATGTTCATGCTGAAAAAGCCAGACTATGAGTATGTTTTATTTAGTATGATTGAATGGGTCATTGGCATTTTATTAATTTTGTTTTCTATTTCCTTATAATTGGGACTTGAGGATATATTACGTTGCTAAGTCAATTGGGTGACTGGTGTGTTTTGCAAATCTTGTACTGAGACTAAACATTGTATCTTCTGCCAAAATGGGTTTTGAAGTTTAACACTACGCTGTGTAGTGAGAAACTGGGTGATAAGCAAATGCAGTCTTTGTCTTTGAGTTGATCTGGTGTGTTCTGAAACTGTCAGGGAAATAAATCTTAGGCTGGGGTAGTTCCTCAGACAGTGCTTTAGAAAACACTAAGTACGGTTAGATCTATCCCAGAAAATCCCTTCAGTTTCCACAAAGCACATATTTTGTAACCATCTTCAAGAACTTCATTGGAAACCAATATATTGTGTCTATGAATTCTACCCTGCCAGCTTTCCACAAAAACTGATAAAGATTTCACATTTCTGTGTGAGTACCAGATTAAGTGATTAACTTTTCTCCAATTCTAAAATCCTGTTTATTTTCACAACACTGACTGAAGTAGCAATGGAGTCTTGTCACTTAGTTAGAAAAGCCGATGGGTAAGTTCTGGGTAATGTTAGCTGCTTGTTTCTCTTTCAGTGTCTTTCCTAGAACGGCTAGTTATGTCTGCTGGTACTGACTAATGAGGTACATAGCCAGGTTAGGCTGAAATAGTAGGTTGTCTTCTCCATGGCTGTTCTGGGATAAAAGGCGGAGTAGCCAAAATGTGGTGCAAGAGGAGACGAAGCTACAGAAATTTAATAAAACATTGACAAAGAAGTGACATAAAATACCATATTCAATATCATTGTATTTCTGGCTTAGCTTTATATTCAGTCCTTGCATATGTACTAGGAAAGTAATGGATGTAGCACAAACCGGCGGGAATGATACTTTATCTTCAGAAGATAGAATTATGATTTTGTACTTTTTGCTAGTCAAGGTGTCTGTATAGTCTATGCTTTCATCATTATGGCACCTGAGAGAAACAACCCATCACTTGGTAGGCAGAGACAGGTGGATCTCTGTGAGTTCTAGGCCAACGTGGTCTACAGAGCAAGAGCATGTTCTAGGACAACCAAAGCTATATAAAGAAGCCCTGTCTAAGAGAGAAAAAGAAAGAGGCGCCTTGTTTGTTAATTTGATTTTAAAAAGGAGTATAATGACCATTTAACACAGAAAGAGTAGTCGTTGATAAATAACAATCTTTAGTCATATGCAAAAAATGAAGCTGGACCTTTTTCTGACTGTATACAAAAATGAACTAAAAGTGGATGAAAGTCTTAAATGTACAGCATTAGGGTTAAATAGATGGCTTAGCAGTTCTGAACATTTATTGCTCACAAAGGACCCAAGTTCAGTTTGCAGTACCCACATGGTGGTGGTTCATAACCATTTGTAACTCCAGTTTCAGAGGACCTGATACCTTCTTCTGAAGTTTGTGGGTACCAGTCATAGACACACACACACACACACACACACACACACTATGTGCGTGCATGCATGCATGCATACATACATACATATATGTGTATATATACATACACACATACATGCAAACAAAACATAGACAGCATAAATCCTTAAAATTTTTTCATGTATAAAAGTATTGTTATAGGAGAATGTAATATGATTTGAGATATGGTAAAATATTCTTAGGTATGATATTGAAAGTCTAAGCAGCGAAAGAATATGTATGTGTGTGTGTATGTGTATGTATGACTGCCTCAAGATCACCAACAGTAGAAAATATTTGTGATTATATCTGAAATCTGGCTTGTGTTTAGACTACACAAAGAATATTTTCAATTCAATAATGAAAATACATTATCCAATTAAAAGGATTAAAATTGACATATCTCCCAAAAACATTGATGGCTTAAAAATACATAAAAAGAGACTAATCATCAAGTAAGAAAAGGCAAATAAGCCAAACCTCAGAGACTTCTATTTCATGTCGACTGGGATGCTAATAGTCAGAGAGAGGTAGCAGATCACATTAGCAAGTATGTCGAGAAACAAGAGCCATTATATGCTGCTCTTGGAAACCTGAAATGACATAGGACTTTGAAAAGTAGTTTGGGGCTGGAGAGGTGGATCAGAATTTAAGAGCACTCAGTAAATAAGTTTTTTAAAAAATAAGGAGAAGGGGGAGGATGAAAAGAATGTAGTTGCTTGGCGTTTCCTCAAACTATTAAACAAACCATTTTTATATGACCATTATTTTCATTCTTAGGTCTGTAACCAGGAGAAAAAAAGACATGTTCACACCAAAATTTGTATATAGCTGTATGGTGGTGGTGCACACCTTCGATCCCAGCACTTGGGAGGCAGAGGCAGGTGGCTGTCTGTGAATTCGAGGTCAGCCTGGTTTACAAGAGCTAGTTCCAGGATAGCCAGGGCTGTTACACAGAAAAACTCAGTCCTTGAAAAACCAAATAAATAAATACATAAATACATAAAATTTATATGCAAATGCTATGAGCTAAAAGATGGAAGTAACCTAAATATTCATTGCAATATCGATAAATGAAGAGTTTTATTCATAAATAAAAAGCTTTATCCATCAATGAACATTGTTTATTCATAAAAGGAAATGAAGCACTAATATGTGTCAATGAAAAATTGAGAACATGGGTAAACTTTGAAAAACTGCATCATGCTAAATGAAAGAAACCAATGGTAAAGCATACCCACCATTCATATAAAGATATAGAATAAAGATACCCAAGGAAATTAAATGTAGCTTAGTGGTCATACAGAGCTGGGCGTGAAGTATGTATGTATGTGTGTTGGTTGAGGTGGGTGATAGACAAGGTTTGGGGGTACCTTAGAGACAGGGATTCTCTGTGTAGCCCTGCCTGTCCTGGAGCTCTGGCTATAGAGCAGGATGGATTCAAATTCAGATTCTCTGCCTCCCAAGTGCTGGGATTAAAAGTGTGTCCCACCTTGCCAGCTTCTTTTTCTATTTTTCTAAATTTATTTATTTTATGTGTATGAATACCTGCATTTATGTATGCATACCTTGTGGCTATGGAATCATATGTTGACTCCCCTGTAACTGTAATTATAGATGTTTGGGAGCCATCATGTAGGTGTTGGGAAATCAACTCAGGTCCTCTACAAGAACTACCAATACTCACTGAGCTATTGATTAATTGTGCTGACTGATGATTGCAGGGATTTTAAATATACAATTATTAAGCTTAGATGTTAAGAAAATGAAATGCATAATATGTAAATATATTTTAATAAAGCTCTTTTTAGTGGAAAACAAAGAGATACATTATATTTTTCTGAAAACTTTTATTATTTTAAAATAAATTAAATCTACTTCTTAGATTAAAATAATAAATAGGATTGTCATGTGGAAGACAAACAAATTGTAAATAAAATAAAATAGAACTTGCCAGTTGAGGAAAGTTATAGTCGTCGGTTTTGGTCAGTGAGACTACAGTGGTGGAGCTGTGGGGTGGGCTTCAGGCCTCTTGATACTGCGCATTGTCGAATGGTCAATGGCATTTGCTTTCTCCCTGATATCTCACTTTCATTTTCTTCTCCACCTACTACCGCCATTCTATACTGAGCTCATGACTTAGTTAAAAAAAATGTGTGTCCGAATGTTCTGATCAAATGTATTTCTGTGTGCCATCTACATGCCTAGTACCCATGGAGGCAAGAAAAGGGCATTGGACCCCTTGAAACCGGAGCTAAAGAAGTTGTGAGCTGCCGTGTGGGTGCTGAGAGTTGAACCCAGCTCCTCTGGGTTCTTAATCACCTCATGTTGCCTGTCCATCCTGATGTTTGACTTTTTATGTATTTTCTGTTAGCTCGTGAACCTTACAAGGACAGTGTACTGTCTTTTAACCAAGCACATTGCAGAATTGCCAAGTACATGAAATACTTGGCAGATTATAAAGATTAAGTGATATTTGTAGGAAGAGAAGAGGTAAGAAATGGTGGGACACATAGAAAGTCACATTTATACCCAACTTTCCCCTGCCCCCTTTTCACTAGACTGTAAAGGACTATTTATTTTTGTCTTCTCACCACTTATCAAACTGCCTGGTACCTGTTCCAGTAAATATGTGTTGAGTGAGATACTCACTAAACGAGAAAGCATGAAGAGATAACTGTGGAATTGCGTGTCAGGAGCCAAGAGCAGTCTGACCTCTAGGCTTGTGGGTCGACAAGGTGAGACAGGGAGGCTGTTGCTGTCCACAGAGAGGTCAGATATTCTCAAGGTTAGCGTGTAAGACAAAGAAGAGAGCGGAAAGGTTGGTTAAGGGATGATAAGCAGGGGATGTGAAAAGACAGCAGTTAATCGTGGGAGTAAAGCAGTTTAATAACGGTGAAAGGCTTCTGCTAGTAATTGAAAGAGCACTGTAAAATCCAGCCATTGGCTGCTATGGGATCCTGTAGGAAGTGCTGGGGCCAGAAAAGAATAAGAGAGGGTTTGGTAAGCAGAAGTTTTATTTTGTGGAGAATACTGTGAAACAAATGAGAACTCTGCTCAAGAACATTTATGCTATTATAGGACTTTGACGAGTATTTCTTCATTTTTCTTTCATTCTTGCTGGTATCCCAAGAGTGGAAACTGTTGAAGGCCTACCTCTGTATCCTTCCCTAAGTCTGTAGGTTTTGGTATTCATGATAACACCTGTGAATAAAAAGGGTTGAGCTAATGGGAGAGGAATCTGCTGGCTGCCTCTCTTGGGTATGCTCTGATGGTCTATAAATAGGATAGAATTAATAGGCTCTTGCAGTGTTCTGTTAGTTTCGGGGATCGGCCAATCCAGTAAGTGATGGTGCATGCTATACTACATAGCTAAGATTTACACCTAAAATGCTTATGTAGTTTTTATAGATGCTCACTTATAAAAGTGCTTATATCTTTTTAAAACAAATTCTTGTTAGTAGTTACATTCATTGGAGATATATTTTGAAATGTATTTATAACTATAGTTTATAACTGTTACTTACCTTTTAAAATATTTTATTTTCACAGTCCAGAAAAGGCTTTGAAAGATTCACTGCAACCCTATGAGGCTGCTTATCTCTCAAAATCCCTATCGAGACTCTTCGATCCCATCAACTTGGTTTTTCCCCCTGGTGGGCGTAACCCTCCTTCCTCTGATGAGCTCGATGGCATCATTAAAACCATAACAAGGTATGTATTTCTTATATAACAGCATGCCAGGCTGACTGCCATGATTACCAGTGGCAGTACACTTTAAATTTACCTCAAATTACTCAAGTAATTAGGCTTTCAATTAAATTGAGTTTTATAATGATTGAGCATTCACATAGTGCTTGAGATTCCAATTAATAAAACCATTTAAATATAGATACAGTGTGTAGAGTGCAGAAACCATCTGTTGTGGCCCAGTGTTGGTGACAAACACATTTAATCCCAGCACTTATGAGTCAGAGGCAGGTGGATTACTGTGAGTTCAAGACCAGCTTGGTCTACAGAGCTATTTCCAGGACAGGCTCCAAAGCTACACAGAGAAACCCTGTCTTGAAAAATTACACACACAAAAGAAAATCATGTTATAATTACTTTGTAACTTAGCAAAATAAAATTAATTTAGCTATTCGTACTCTATGAACTTCCTAGTATTATATAGGAAAACATAAAATAATCGTACAAACTGAAAATCTCAGACATGCATAGAGGTTTTATCCCAGAAACCCAGAAAGCACTTTATGACAGAAACAGGATTAATTATTTTGTTTGATGTAGCAGGCTGTCTTTTGGGCCACCAACCAGCTCCCAAATCATGACATGGAGACATATTAATTATAAATGCTCAGCCTTTTCTTAATGCTTATTCCACTAACTTATAACTTAATTTAACCCGTTTCTTTTCCCCTACGTTTTGCCTCAGGAGTTGTTGGACCTCCCTTCACTTTACATGTTGTACTCTGTGTCTGGCTGGCTGACAGCCCCGCCTATCCCTCTGCTGCCTAGCTATTGACTGTTCTTCTTTTTATTAGATCGGTCAAGTGCCTTAGGCAGGCAAGGTAAAACAGCAACACATCTTTACATAATTAAACAAATGCAACACATCTTTACATAGTTAAAGTAATATTCCACAAGATAAAGTTCACTACCATACGCGTGCCCAATGAATGTGAATAGCTTTTAAATTAAAATGGGACGGCATCCAGCAGAGCTGTTTCTTCAGTACTTGCAGACAAATGTAGTTATGCTGTGGCTTCAGAGGTATTACAATCAGATTACTGGTTAGAACTCCAGTCCCTGCCCTAGCTGACAAGTTGTCATAACAGACAGTCTGTACTTTCATGATTGACATCTTGAGGAATAAAATAGTGAGTGGCTGGGCAATCTAGGACCATGAGGTAGAATTGTTTACGTTCTTTCATTTGAAGACAGCACTTTACAGAAGTCATACTTATATGAGTATCTGCAGCTGTACATGTGCTGGTTCAATACTTGAACTGCCCTATACTTCTCGCCATGGACTTGGCCTTGATAGTCTTGACTGTATGCTTCTCACCTTAGCATTTTGTACCTTTATGGTGTACTTGTGGGCCAGGTGCTATATTCAACTTGGTCTCTGTACCTAGTTCTGTAAATGCTAGGGAGGTTGAGCGTCAAGGGTGACATGTAGGGATGAAGAAGGGCGCTTATGCCAGCGTTACTAGAGTGCAAAGGCCGCAGTCTGAGGGCTGTGGGAAAGCGCATTGTGCTGGGTGTATAGATACCGAGTCAGGGTCTCTATATAGCCTTAACTGTCCTAGAACTCTTCCTATAGACCAAACTGACCTCCAGCTCATAGAGATCTGCTTGCCTCTGCCTCCCAAGTACTTAAGCCAGCCAGGGTCTTGTGGATTCATTAGCTTCTTTACAAAGTTAATCTAGCAAGTGCCAAAATTTCATCCACTGCAGAGATGATGCATTTCTTTCATGATTTCATGAGATTTTTAACTCATGGTTTTGGAAAAATACCCTCTTTGTTTCTACAGTCACATCAGCTGTCCTGCCAGCTCACTGTTGAAGTCGGCAATGAATGTGACAGAAATATTTAACAATCTGAAAGTTTAAATGTGAAAATTACACTTCTGTGCTGTCCATATATTTAAAGTTATTCTCTACAAAGCAGAATTAACTGGCCTAGTTTGTACAGAACCCAAGTGTCCTTATGTGTCATATGTAATTTGTATGTTTAGCCTGTGTTCCCCCAAGGTCATCATTCCATTCAAGAGCTGTCACTTCCTTGCAGATGTCTGTGCAGGCAGTGCTCTAATTGCCCTTATCAGTAGTAACAAGAGCGCCGCTTTAAATCTGTTCACAATTACTCCTTAATCACAGATTGAACCCACACGTGGCTTGCTTTTATTAATGTGAAACTGATCATTAACAAAGCCATCTCAAAGCCCTTTTCCTACTGCTAAATTTAGGGAGAAAAATGAAACATCATAACCAATTCCTGGAAGCAATCAGCAAAATCTATATAAAGATTCAGCATGTCCCTCATTGGGCTTCAGGTTTTGAGGTGCTCATTAATTGTTGAAGAATTGTGTGCTAAAAACTGAAATCTGCTTTTGTTTTCTCTAGTGAACTCAATGTGGCTGCTGTTGATGCAAACCTCACATTAGCTGTGTCAAAAAACGTGGCCAAGACCATACAGCTATATGGTGTGAAATCAGAGCAGCTTGTAAGTAGTGTATCTTTATTTATACATTTTAATGATTTGGCTAAAAAGTTCTAGTTATAAACTTTTTGAATGACTATAAGTAATAAAACAATTAAGTAATCCATTTGTATTTAAATGAGTTGTTCTAGTTGGTTTCGTAATAATATTTAGAGTAGCATGCTAAGTAATTTACATGGACTGACCCACAATGATAATTATGTTATGAAGTTCCTACTTTCAGTTCCAAATTGTGTTTGCTAATATGGTGCTATTTTCTATTCATTTGTTCTTGTAATTTTGACATAAATTAGAGGCATCCTTATTTTTTCCAAACTTTGTTTATTGAAAAAGCCATACAGAGACACAGTAGCTATTGGTAGGCAATGAGATGACTAATTTTTCTTTCAAGGCTTACTTATAGATATTCATAGTTTAAAACACACACACACACACAAATATGGTTTATCATCATAAATAAAATAAAATCTGATGTTGTATCCAGTAGAATTTAGTGTAGCTACTCAGGTCCCAGGAAAGAAGTCCCTACGAGGTGGCCCCAGCAGGGCATAAACGTGAGAAGCCAGAGCAGGCCCTTCCTAGAGCTGACTTTCCTTCTTGTTGAGGACAAGTTGAGGGGTGGGAAGGAGGCAGTAGTCATAAAAATATATAGTTTAAATTAATGTAATAATGGCAAAAGGCTTTGAAAATGGAAACTGTGTTAATTAATGATCGATTATGTACTATTAGTGACAATCTATGACCTGAAATCTCTTGATCCTCCCTAACCAACAGTGAAGACTAATAAAATATTTTAATAGAATTCTTTCTCTGTCCGAAATAGTTTTACTTTTCAACTTCCATTCGGTTGGCTAAAGGAAGCCTAATCATTAAATAAAATTATAAATAACATTTATTTTAAAGCATATTACTAAAACCTGAAGTTACTGTTTCTTTCCAGTAAATAACACTGTTTCTGCGATCCTAGTTTTAAATTTTGACACATGTCATTTTTTACTTTGAAATGATAGTTATTGGTTTGTTTGTATATGTGTGCATGGCTTCAAGTGCGCATGTGCATGCATGCCGTGGTGTGCATGTGAAAGTCACAAGTGTGTTCTTTCCTTCTACTCGGATCCTCAGATGTAATAGTTGGCACCATGCCTTCTCTGTCCTCTCCCACGCTCTCTTCAGTTGTGTGTGTGTGTGTGTGTATAAGAGCGATCAAGGAAGATACTTGCTGTGAACATCTGGCCTCCATATCTGCACACATACACATACACCCACACACATGTAAGTCCACATACACTCAAGTACATACACAGCACACAATGATACGAACACAATAATATACATTTTTACAATCATAAATTATCAGTGCGTATATGTTTACCCTAAGGCTCTGCTGTTATTCTCAAAGGTATGTATAATATAAGCTTATATCTAAAGATGAGTCTAAAGCCTTTTACCAGAGAATCTATTTTTTTTTTTACTCATTTTTTTTTCTTGGATTTTTGAAACCCAGTCGCTTGTCTTGACTTGTTATATAACCTTGCCTGATCTGTATTCCTTGACTTAGCAAACTTGCCATCTGTTTTAGTCACTGCTCTATTGCTGTGAAGAGACACCATTGCCAGAGCTCGACTCCAATGGGGTTCAGGCCCCAAAGAGGAGGTGGGGAGTCTGCTAAGGAGGGAGCCCAACACGATCTGAAGGGAGTCAGGATGGCTGCCCACGTATTGAAAACAGACCGTATCTTGTATGCTCTCTAACTGAATTATAGTTTAACCACAGGCGATACTGAGAACAGACTCAATGATTCTGGGGTGAAAGCGGTCATCGGCTTTATTACAACATTTTTCTTTAAGCAGAAAACAATAAGTTTAACAAGAATCTAAATGCTTATTGTTCTCGATATTCAAAAACCCCGTCAGGTGCCCTCTTAAACTTCCTGCTGCACAATCTTGGTCTTTGTGGTCAGGAGGGATCAGACATTAAGTCATGAGAAACCAACCCGTAAAGCAATTTTCATTCCTCAAGGGGCAAGATGTGTACCATGTAGCACCACAAGCACTGAGCTGCCTCCTAATTGCGCCCCTTTGTGCCTTGGTCTTATAATATGGCTTGTTCCCCTCATAGGCTCCCACAGGGGAAGGTGCTGACATATTACCTTTTTCCATTATACTGAACCATTCTGATTCCTTCAGTGTATACGCCTGTGTATGGCAGAGGGGGAGCAAGCCAGCCTATCTTCTTAACAGAATTTGCTCCCCCTGGGGCATAACAGAGCTTGCTATTCCTCCAGTAAGCCACCGATCCTGGGCAGTATTCTATGCTGCTTGCCGTTAATGGCCTCAGGCTCTGGTCCATTGTTTCTCTTGATTGTGTGCTTTTCATCCTTGGAGTCTGCTGTGCCCAGTTAGTAAATCATTAGCTTCTCTATGATTCCTGTGTGGGAGTAGGCATGTTGTCATGCTGTACGATTCCACAGTGGTAGGGATTTTTTCCAAAGAATTATTTGATATAAAGAGACTGCCATTGTATACACTTCATCCTTCAACAAAGCACGCATAAATTTTCCCAAAAGAAAGGGATAAGGAAATTCCCATAACATAATGAAAATCACTAAAGTGAAAGATGCTGGAGAGCTGTGGTCTGCAATGTGTAAATGCTGGGACTTGGTAAAGCAGTAGTGGTTGGCATGTGGTCCATGCACACCATGACCAAGCCAACTATTATAAGAGAAAACATTTAGTTGAGGGCTTGCTTACAGTTTCAGCAGTTTAGTCCATTAACATCATGAAAAAAAGCCTGGTGATATGCAGGCAGATGCTGCAGCTGTAGCTGAGAGCTACCACCTGATCTGTAGGCAGAGAATGAAACCCCAAAGCCTACTCCTAATCCTGCATCTGCACACACACTCGGGAGACAGAGATAGGCGGATCTATGTGAGTTTGAGGCCAGCCTGGTCTACAGAGCGAGTTCCTGGACAGGTTCCAAAGCTACAGAGAAACCCTGTCTCAAAACTCAAATAAATAAATAAAAAGATTATAAAGTTTTATAATTAAGAAAATAATAAATATATTATAAACATATCATTATATAAACGTGTAAACATACTTATTAATGAAGTATTTTTAAAGGTGAATTATTGGGTTTTTTTCCCTAGCACTGAAATTTTAAGGCATGAAATATAGACTCTTATTGTAAATGTCAAATGTTTTGAACTGTGAAAAGAACATGGACATGTAATTAAGTTGTAGATCCGTTGAAGAAATAACAGAATGACATTTAGTAGAAAGTTTCCATTTAATGCAGGTCAACAACACTGTATAAGGTCAGTAGTTATGAACCTAGGGTTTTGTTTTGAAGCTTTGTAAATATATACTTTATTTCATGAATAATTTCATAAGTGCCTTGGAGATTTGACATTCATAAACTTTGGGGGAAAACCTATAATGATGATATAAAGACAGTAGAGTTTATAGCCAGCTGTGGTGCATGCCTTTAGTCCCAGCACTCAAGAGTCAGAGGCAGGCAGTCTCTGAGTTCAAGACCAACCTAACCTACAGAGTGAGTTCCAGAACAGCCAGGGCTACCCAGAAAAACCTTCTTTCAGGGAAGGAAAAAAAAAGAGTTTGTTTATTTTAGCTTTAAAAGTATTGTGGAGAATTTAATATCATCCACAGGGATGTCATTCCATGTTGTATAATATGACAGTGGTCTCTGCTGTCACATTCAGACAAATAAAAAAGCAAAAGAAGTCTGAAATCACTGGAAAGCGTTTGTATGCGTATGAGCAGTTCAGATGTATCCATGGCTTCTCATGCCAAAGAAACTTTGCCATAGTACAAGCACACTGGTCTCTTTGGGCTCATGATTCTCTTGATCATCAGACACCCATCCATCTTTGCGTCTGTTGTTTTTAGCCTGAAATATTTTAAAACCATTGCTTCTAGCTTTCCAGATTTGTAAGTGCTTGATTTTCTGGAGGCTATGATAGGTCAGTAGTAGATGTGTTGATTTCTTGGAGAGGCCTGAAGAGATAGCTCAGTGGTTAAGAGTACTGTCTGCTCTTTCTGAGGTTCTGAGTTCAATTTCCACTCCACATGGTGACTCACAACCATCTGTAATGAGGTCTGGTGCCCTCTTCTGGCCTGCAGACATACACACAAGACAGAATATTGTATACATAATGAATAAATAAATATTTTTTTTAAAAAAAAAAGACCATCTTGGGCAGCAAAGCATGGCCCATTCTCACACAAACAAACAGCAACAAAAAAATATTTTTTGAAATTAAAAAGACTATTTTTTAAAAAACTATGTATTTTTTTAATTTTTTAAAAATGTCAGTATAAGTGTGCTGATGTTTCCATTAGACACTGCTGTGACAGACAGGTCTGCATGGCATTCAGCACTGTGCTGGTTGGAAGAACTGTAAACTAGGTGACTTTGCTTGGCTGCTTGCTCACACAGTGACTGCTGTCCTGAACCTTAGGTAAGATTGCTCCAGATATTTGTAATTTGGCAGCAGGCTCTCTTAGGCAGCAGCACTGGAGAGAAAGTACTTCATAAACCTGACTCAGCAAAGCCGCTCGTCCATAACGTCAAGTTCAAGGGTATGAGGGTCTCTGCAAACACCAGAGCCAGCAGAATAACCATCTGTGTGAGGCAAAAGGAAATCCAGTTCAAATTCTAGTCTGAGACAGTTTATTTTAGGCATGTTTAAGTGCAGTACAATTTGAGAAAGCAAAACAAAACCATTTCCTGGTGTAACAACCCCTTGTGTACAAGTAGGCATAATTACATTGAAACTCTTCTCGTAGTACATGAGAAGATGGGTTCTGGAGATAGGCTGCGTGTGCTGCCCTAAGGGTCTCGGGGAGGCTCTGCTGTGATCTCAGTCATACGAAAGTGTAGAGGTCTTCTGGGCTATTAGCCACTTCCACTTCTGATTGTGGAAATTTGGGAATACTGCATATACTGATCTTCATTGTGTTTTAAAAATATGTATTATCTTC